GATGCTTTTGGTATCATTTTAAATAAGGGAAAAAGTACAGATTTTCAGAAAAACAAAATGTCTAACTTTAGGAGAATTGCTTAATAATTTACAGAACTATTAAAAAATTTTAGGTGGTCATTACAATTATAATTTAGGTTTATAGAATGATATTTATGTTATACCACTGATAAACATAAGTTAAATTACCAAAAAGAAAATGGTATTTTAGGAAATGACTGTGACAGTTATTGCTTTAAAATTGATTAATTCTACATTATATTTTTTTCGAATATAAACATATAGTGATATAAATATGTTCTCTGAACAATAATTGGGGACTGTTTTGGGGTTTTTTTTTGTTTTTTGAAACAGAGTCTTGCTATGTAGTTCAGGCTGGCCTTGAACTCACTACATAGTCTAGGCTGGCCTTGAACCTGTGGTAATCCTCCTGCCTCAGCCTCCAGAGTGCTAGGATTAAAGGTATGAACCACCACACCCTGCTAGAGGACTGTTCACTAACAGTCTTTGTGTTAAAATACCTAACTATCTGAGATTAAAGGTATTACTGTTTTAATTGGTTGACTTGATAGAAACAGCGAAATGAAATAAAAATGCCCAAATTTGTATTTTAGAAGGCACTCAGTCACTTTAGGGGGGGTGGCGTTGCAGAAGCAATGAAATTCTTATTTTTCCCATGTAACACTAGGAAACTCATTTTCTTTTTTTCAAGAACACTACAGCTAATGTATTTTAAAAGACATTCTCATAAAAATAAAATAAAATAAAAAGACATTCTTGCTCGCTTCAGCAGCACATATACTAAAACTGGAACGATACAGAAAAGATTAGCATGGCCCCTGTGCAAAGATGACACCCACATCTGTGAGGTATTCCTTTTTTTTTTTTTTTTAACCTGAGGCCTATAGAATTCATGGAATTTTTCTTTTTCCTTTTTTTCTTTCTTTTAAAGCTTTTAAAATATGATAGCAGGTATCTATTGACAATGGACAGACTGTGGTGGAAAAGGTAACCTCCAGTTTATTGGACTGGGCTGAAGTACAAAGTCATGGAGAGGAAACCAACACATCAGATCAAGAAAATGAACCCCAGTTAGGTCTGAAAGACTAGCAGGTACTAGATACGAAGAGCAATGCACATCTCTTTTCAAACATCACTGGGACTTAGAGAGTTCCTTTAGCTGAAAAGGGGGATGCAGCTGAGCTCATATGGGATGAGGCTGACCCACGGATTTTGTCACCTCGGGATGAGTATTTTCTTCTGGTACCAGGGATTGAACTCGGGTTCTTGTGCTTGCGCAGCAGGCGGCAAAACCACTGAGCTAAATCCCCAGCCCATGTTTTTGTTTTAGGATGTGTATTTTCAGTATTTTCAGTATGAATATGAGGAGCAGATCTGACATAAAATCAATGGCAGGGAACCTTATTCCTGATATTGTTATTACTAATGCAGTGATTGCTGGGTTGATAGTATTGGAAAGACTAAAGATTTTAGCAGGAAAAATAGATCAATGTAGAACAATTTTTTTGAATAAGCAACCAAACCTGAGAAAGAAGCTTCTTGTGCCTTCTGCACTGGATCCTCCCAACCCTAATTGTCACGTATGTGCCAGCAAGCCAGCGGTGGCTGTATGGCTGAATGTCCATAAAGTGACCGTTCTCACTTTGTAAGGTAAGATAGTGAAAGAGAAATTTGCTATGGTTGCACCAGATGTTCACATTGAAGATGGGAAAGGAATGATCCTAATATCTTCAGAAGAAAGAGGTTAGAAGCTAATAACCATAAATTGTCAGAATTTGGAATTAGAAATGGCAGCTGGCTCGAAGCAGGTGATTTCATTCAGGACTACACTTTATTGATATCAACATCCTTCATAGTGAAGACCTAGGAAAGGATGGTGAATTTGAAGTTGTGGGTGATGCCCCAGATAAAGTAGGGCCCAAACAAGCTGAAAATGCCACCAAGAAGCATAAACAACGGCAGCGATGATGGAGCCCAGCCTTCGATCTCCACAACGCAAGAGCAAGATGATGTGCGTATAGTTGACTCAAACGAAGAAGGTCCTTTAAATAATGCTGACAGTGAAGACGAGAGAAATTAGACAAGAAAGAGAATATCAGTGCAAAGAGGTCTTGTGTGGAACTAAGGAAAGAGCTCGATGATGTCATGTCATTTGATTCAACAAAAACCCTGTACTATGTCAGTATATCTGGGCACAACCAGATCATTTGTTATGTCCTTTGTTCCAAAGAGAAAACATTGACACCAGTGACTTGAAAGTGATTCTGCTCCCTTTGAAAACATTCATTTTCCTAGAACTATTAGAAACATTGGAGAATGCTGTACTGAAAGTAGAAATATAGGTTTTAAACCCTTTGAACAAACTGTGTGCATAACCAGTTATTGAGATAAAACAACACAGTGCATGTTGCCTTTTAAATGTAAATATCCCTAGGTATCATTTAATAGTTTAAAAATATTGTGGTTTAAATATTATGTCTTTATTTTTGGCTAGCAGGAGAATTATGTTTAGCTTAGATCTAACCATTTTTATACTCTTAACTGAGACAGATTCAAAGAAATATCAAATGCTATGCCTTGAAACCTATTTTTAAATGTTAAATGGCCCTATGTATATTAATGTAAAATAATGTTAGTTTACTCAGATTTTCAGTTTTTACTGCCTGATATGTCTGTGTAAGAAGTCAATTTTTGTGTACTGTCACAATTTCAAGTTATTTATATTTGATGTTTTGTAAAATTTAAATTAACGAATATACTGCGCTATGGACAAATACATGGCATGCGGGTAACAATTAAATAAATAGAAAAAAGACAGAAGTTTTGACCCCGACGTGATTTGAACACGCAACCTTCTGATCTGGAGTCAGACGCGCTACCGTTGCGCCACGAGGCCTCCTCGCCCCTACAGACACGCAGATTTCGTGAACAGATGCATCGTCAGCAGTGAGGGGCGGAGCTTCCCCCTCGGGCCCCGCCTCTGGAGTCTTAGGAGGGGCAAAATTGCACGCGCATGCACAGGGAATTAAACTCATGTTCTTAGTAAACTACGAAAAGATGCAAATTGTACGTAGGTACATTTGACTTAAATCCCAATTCTTTGACCTTGTCAGCCCCTTCAGAGAAACGATTTCTGTGTTTTGGGCTTTTGTCATCTCTGTGTCACAGTTGTCCTCGCCCCTAAATAAATCTTACACTTAATCTCAGCTAGGCTGGTGACTGAGAAGGTCGCCTTATTTAGCTTCTCTGGACTTGGTTTCCTCATCTATAGATTGGGTATGATCTGATGCTGTCAGGCGGGGTGAGCAGCGTTTATAGCGACGGCCGGAGTTCAGTCAGCGCTGCTTACACGTTCGCGCCTTGCAAACGACGACAATCAGGGCCTCTGACTCAGCCTGCGGATGGCCGCCGCCTGATTCGGCGTTCAGACAACCGAATAGGACATCCGTTTCAGGGAACTCTTTTACATATCAGCGTTGGTGGTATAGTGGTGAGCATAGCTGCCTTCCAAGCAGTTGACCCGGGTTCGATTCCCGGCCAACGCAGTGTTTTAGTTTTTAAAATAATGTACTGTACTTTTTCCACTTGTTCCCCAGACCCCGGTATGGTGAGTTGAAGGCTGTCACGGGGAACCCTCCGCTCCTAGGGGACCAGCTTTGGGCTCCTCCCTGGTCCCCGATCCCGCCACCCTGCTCCCGATCGCGGTCCCCCGCGCTAATATCCGCCCAGGACTGCGGAGTCTTTGCGGATAGCTGTGCGAATCCGACGACAGACACAAGGAGGCGGAAGGAAGCCCTCAAACCTAGCCTCGTTACGGAGGGGTCAGAGATTGGGATGTTACAAGGTGAGGCCGGGGAACGAAGCTGCAGGCTGCGACTGGAAACGCCCATGCTGTCAGGGGAGGGGCAAGCGCAGGAGATTGCGTCAGCGCGAATCACGCGAGCGGTTTTATGCCGTTGGTTCATCTGTGTTTCCTAGCTTTTCGTCCACGAACACTTCTAGTAGAGGATTGAGTGGGGAGAATAATGGGTCATGTAACCTCACGCTTAAATTGCAACTTAGGTATAGTAAAATATAAGCTGGAAATTTACAGTAAAATCTCGAGGGTCAGGACAGACTTCTCCCTTTCTTTCGATTCTCTCCTCAAGGTCCCTGCCCGGTGTTCAGTAAAGAAGTGGGATTTGATGGATTTATATAAAGCTGAGAGAACTAAAAATAATAATTAATCCTCCCCGTCGGGGAATCGAACCCCGGTCTCCCGCGTGACAGGCGGGGATACTCACCACTATACTAACGAGGAAGGGGCTGACAGAACCTCTCTCTGGATCCTTGATGTGGCTGAGATGTACCGTGGTTGGTGCTTCGTGACTGACGGAGGGTTTCTCCAGGATTTTCTTTCCAACCACTGAGAAATGCTATCCAGACACCTGTGCACATTTTAGATAGTAACTGAACGCGAGTTCCCAGAAAGGCAGAAAGGAGTAGGAGTAACCGAGACATCTGCATCCGAGGGTGCAGAAACCTGGGTTCTGAGTCTTTTGTTCTCTAGGCACAGCCCAAATAGCTCCTGTCATCCACAGCTAGAGGTTAACGAGGATCAGTCACACCGAAACCGCTCTGGGGGCTAAGGGCAAGGCGCCAAGCAGGCCGGGGGGGATCAGAAAGTGAGTTTTGGCGAAGACTGGGCGCACCTCCGCTCTCCCTAGCACGCCAGGCAAGACTGCTTACTGAGCTTTTTTCCGACACGGGGGTGTCCATTCAGAACAAAAGAGGTCACTGAATGTAGCTGACAAGGATCTTTTTCCCCGTCCAGCCTCCTGCGCCACTTTTACCCACATTCTTGGAACTCGAGGTCAGCAAAAATAGGACCACTGGGCTCGTCCGGGATTTGAACCCGGGACCTCTCGCACCCGAAGCGAGAATCATACCCCTAGACCAACGAGCCGGCACATGATAATGGCCGCGGATGCTCTTAGAGGTCGTACGGCATTTGCTGTGGTCCTAGGGACACCACGATTGGCGGGAGCGTCCAGGAGAACTTCAGGGTCCACCCTCCCCACGGCTGAATACTGCATTCTGGAGCATGTGTCTAGGAATCTCTGGGCTGCTAGCCCTAGAGCTCCGACTCCTTGCGGGAAGTAGCGTGGAGGAAGTGGGAGGGGGTGCTCTGGGTCTGTCCCCACTCCACCTTTCTCAACTGCCCTGAGTTGCCAGGTTCCTGCTCTTTTCGGTCACCGACTCCGGCCCGTCCCTTAATTTGGGATCTCCACCCTTCCCGCTCTCAGCCTTCTGACCCAGCCCCGCGGTGGAGAGCTTTGAAACAAGCCCCGAACATGCCTGATCTCAGGAAGGTCTGGAGACAGAGTCCTGAAATCCCTAGGTGAACACCACCCCTCTAACCGTCCCTGTACCTATTTCACTGGGGTGACAGGCAGGGGCTTCAATAGCCTATGGTCTCCCCATACTGCTTGACAGCGCCCAGCTAAAAAGACAAACGTGATGATTCCTCTGGCAAAAAACAAAAAACCCAAGGAAGAAACGTTACTGAGACGCCCGGCTAGAGCGAGGGACCCTGCTTCCTCTGCAGAATAGAGTGGGGCACCAGGCCAGGCCAGTCAAGATGGTCCCTGATGCCCGACACCTCTGTGGACACTGGCTAGGGCTCAGTCTAGCCTCAGCTCCCCAGTTTCCTCTAGGAAGGCCCAGGAGACTCTTCTACATGCTGCCGCAGAACATCAGAAGGTAAGGGACTGGCCATCTGACACACGAGTGTAATCATAGGCCAATAGGCCTAGTTTTGAGGCCTCCAAGTGTCCACTGAGCTGCTCAGTGAGCCTCTAAACTCTGAGAATACTCATCACATTTGAGTCACTTTTTTTTTTTTTTTTTTTTTTTTGTACCAGGGATCGAACTCCGGTCCTTGTGCTTGCGCAGCAGGCAACGAAACCACTGAGCTAAATCCCTGACCCCTCATCACATTTGTACTTGCCAAAAGTCGGGAAAGATTTGGTGGAGCTGGATGTGGTAGTGCATGCCTGTAATTCCAGCACCAGGAAGATCGCTAAGAAGTCAGCCTGGGTTACATAGTAAATTTAAGGCTAGATGGACTCAACTTGTAGCCCGCTCCCAGGTTGTCCTCCTAGATAGTCCTCCCAGCAGGTCTCTGACTGGCGGAGGCCCTGTCCTAGGCTGAATGAACCATCTTGATCCATAGGCCAGTCCATAGACCAGTCATGTAATTTGTGGCACCAGGCCCTTCCTAATGCCCAACCACAGATACTATAATGGAGAGGATTTCAATGAGCTCTTGTTTTTTTCTCATCTCAGATGTCCCTAGCCAAATAGTGAGGAACAGAGGAGAATCTGGCTTTCCCATGAGTGTCACAAATCTTTCAGATGGAGAAGAGGTTCTTAGGGCCGATCTCCTGGGACCTCCTCCTTCAGTCCACTTTCAATTTGTCTCCCTCCTCTTGGGCTCCCAGTCTTCCAGTCATCTCTCTCTCACCTGGTCTGGGTGGGGATGGGGAGTAAGGGTGGGTTAAATCTTTTATGGGCATGATGAAATTTATGTCCTTTCTTCCTAGGAAAATACAATGGATACCAAGGTATGAATCCAGAAAGTATGGTGTTGACTTTGCTGAAAGTATTTCTCATTTTAAGAGGTATCAAAATCTTTACACTGCTCTGGGGTGAGAAACTGAAAGTGTAAATTAGGATCAAAATGTACGATAGATAATGTGAAATAGGAAGAAAAGGTCTAAAGGGGAAGGGAACTAAGAGGGATAGGGAAAAGGCAAGAAGGGAAAAGAAAAAATATGAGAAAAGGAAAAAATGGAAACAAAGTCTTTGTAAATAGGGAGGGGTGGAGGGGTTGAAGGGAGGGCAGGGGAAGGGGAAAAAATAAGAACCAAGAAACATCATGTAAAGGTGCAAATTCCCAATGATGAATGTCATCATATTGTATACTTAAAATGTACCAATAAACTTAATGAATATAAAAAAATCCTTACACTGAAAGATGCAGTTCTTAGATTTAAATTTGGGCAGTCACAGTTGAGACTGGAGGGAAAGAGAAGGGGTAGGAAATAGGAAAGGGTAAAAAGGGTAAATTTGAGGGGCTGACAGTCCTCTTGCCCCTAGCATTTCCCTAAGGGGGAATCTGGGCACCCTCTTGAAATTTATTTTTTGGCCGTCATTATTTTGATTTTTTTTGAGACAGGACCTTGCTTTTTAGCCCAGGGTTGCCATTTTCCTGCCTCAGTCTCCCAAGTATCTTCTTCTTTTTTTAAACTTTATTTTTACTTTAAACTTTATTTTTAATTAGTATGTATTTGTCATACTTTTTTTTTTGGTACCGGGGATCAAACTCGGGTCCTTGCGCTTGCACAGCAGGTGGCGAAACCACTGAGCTAAATCCCCGGCCCTGTCATGCATATTGATCACATTCATCAGTGGGAATTGGTACTGGTACATGATGTATCTTGTGCACCAGGCGGCAAAACCACTGAGCTAAATCCCCAGCCCTACATGATGTATCTTGATTCTTTTTTCCCCTTCTCCATCCCTCCCTTCAACCTTTCGTCTCCTCCCCATTTACAAAAGCTTTGTTTCCATTCCTTCCTCCTATTCTTTTTTTCTCCTTTTCCTTCCCTTCACTCCCTGCCCTTGTTCCTTTCCCATTTGAAAATGTTCTTCCTACTTCCTAGTATCTGTCCTCTATTATGCTCCTTATTAACCCTTCAAGTTTCTCACACAAGAGAAACAATGCAATATTTAAACTTGTGTGTCTGATTTATTTAAGATTATGGTCTTGAGGTGCATCTATTTTCCTACAAATGACTCAGGTTTATTCTTCTTTATGGCAGAGTAGTGCTCCATTGTATATAAATATATTTTCTCTATCCATTCATTTATTGATGGGCATATGGGCTGTTTCCAAAATTTAGCTATTATAAATTGTGCTACTAAAAGCATGGGTATGCAAAAATTACTGTGGTATGATGCTTTTAACTCTTTCGAGAAGATACCTAGGAGGGGAACAGCTATGTTAAATGGAAACTCTAATCCTAGTTTTCTTTTTTTTTTTTGGTACTGGGGATTGAACTTGGGTCCTTGCACTTGCAGAGCAGGCGATGGAACCACTGAGCTAAATCCCCAGCCCTAATCCTAGTTTTCTGAGGAATCTCCATACTCATTTCCACAATGGGTGGACCAGTCTACATCCCACCAGCAATGGAGAAGGGTTCCTTTCCCCCCACAGCCTTGCCAGCATTTGTTGTTGGTTGATTTCTTGATGATAGCTATTCTTTCTGGAATGAGATGGAATCTCAGTGTTGTTTTAATTTGCAATTCTGGAATGACCAGTTGTGTTGAACATTTTTCCATATATTTGTTTGGTGTTTGTAATTCTTCATCTGAAAAATGTCTATTCATTTAAGATGCCCATTTTTAGACTGGGTCTTTAAATTTGGGGAGGAGTCTGCCTTTTTCTTTTTTTGAGTTCTTTATATATTCTAAATCTTAGTCCTTTGACTGAAGAGTAGCTGGTAAAACTTTTTTTTCATCCTGTGGGTTGTCTCACTCTGTTGGTACATTTCTTTTGCTGTGCACCACATGCCTTCCTGGAGATTTTTTTTTCCTCTTCAGATTCTACATACTTTCAGTTACTGAGGCCTTTTAAAAAATCCTAAATATCTTAAATTCATCTCAAGGCCTGGCATGGTGGCAAATGCCTGTAATACCAGCTCTCAGGAGGCTGAAGCAGGCAGATCGCTGCAAGTTTGAGATCAGCCGGGGCTACATAGTGAGTTCAAGGCCAGCCTGAACTGCATAGCGAGACCTGTTTCAATCCCCCCCCCCCATTAAATTTAACTCGTTGGGCAATAATATGGTGCAAGCTGTTGACATTTCTATAACCAACCCCTAAGCCCTGTCCTCCCTGTCCCTCATGCTGTTATAAATTATAACATTTATCTAGGGTAAGTATATAATTCATCTAGTATATTTTGATTGTGTTTATATCACCATCTTCCTTCCCTTATAAACTCCAGCAGGGCAGGTTTTTTCATCTATTTGTTCCCTCCTGTATTCACTGGGGCTACAACACTGTGGGTCACACAGCAGGTGTTTAATAGAACACAGCAAATTTCTGCTTGTTCTTTCAGATTTGGCTTACCTGCTCTAGAAAGCCTCCACTGATCAGCCTTCAGCCTCACACGGGATGAGGTTCCCTTCTCTTCCCCAAGTCCTCACAGGACCCTGTCCAGCCCTTAGCGCGTGTTGTTTTGATTGTGTCTTCCCAGGAGCCCTGAGAAAAGTTCATATACAGGGTTCAACCCTTGCTTGACCTGAAAAGATCAAGTCCTTTAAGCTTTTATTCAGAGGTCTCAAAGCACTTCCTCCTTCATCAGCTTGGCTTCCGGGCAGCCGATTCATACCAGGCTCCCTTATGCCCTGAGCTCTCTTCTACTTCCTGTTCACCTGGTTCCAACTCTTCAGCGCCCTCTTGCAAGAAACCTGATAGCTCTAGGCCAGCTGACGAGTCCTGGACTCCTACCCTGTCTGCCCGCTCCTGGAGAGGGGCAGACGTAACTACACATGAAAGGCTGGGTTCTAGACTGCACCTAGAAGCCGCACCACAGCTTAAAAATATAAATGTGTATGTTTTATATTATACATAGAAAATATAAAATTAGGGGCCCCAAACCAAAAGACACAACGAAGACCCCCCCAAAATCAAAGCGGCTCAGGTTATAGGAAACGTCGTGGGGTAGAGGAAGCGCAATCCCTGAGCGGTGGCGTAGCATAGAGTATGTAGGTGGCTGCCGGGTTAGGGCCAGCAGTGCCAGTGGACTGTGGCATCTGGTAGGCAAAGGACAGTGCAGGCCTGAGCAGGATTTCTGCTCTGATCTCCCAGGACTGGCAGCTTTTCTCAATGGGACATCTACGTGTTCTGAGCAGAACTAACCCCCTTGTTTACTGTCATACAAAAACAATAGATAGATCTTTCGGGTACTGCCCAAAAGGTAACACAAAGTCCTAAGTTAGGATGAATAAAGGCACCGCTGGGATTCGAACCCAGGATCTCCTGTTTACTAGACAGGCGCTTTAACCAACTAAGCCACAGCGCCAAAGCTAGAAAAACTTTTTTCTGGATACCCCTACAGGAAAATACTTAGGGAGTCCAGCATCTAAAGCAAATTAAGTGAATAAGCCAGCTAACCACATATTCCTGAGATTCCCTAGTGTTGAAAGAAATAAATGAAATTTCTCAAAACTAGATGTCCCTGGTTGACAACTCAAGATTGTAGAGTTTTGAGACAAGGGGATTTGGAGCATAGCGACCAGTCTTGCCTCTTAAGTGAAGAACGGTAATATGGGGTATACATCTGAGAAGAAAATAGTACGTAGTCGGCAGGATTCGAACCTGCGCGGGGAGACCCCAATGGATTTCTAGTCCATCGCCTTAACCACTCGGCCACGACTACCCTGCCTTGTTAGGTGACTTTATTCTACAACTTTCTTAGTCGCCTTTCCCCACAATTCCTCTCATATGCTGATCTGTGCCGCTGGATAAATCAGAAGTAAACATTAGCTTGTAGCCCGGCCTCTCTAAAATCCTCTTTCCTGTTCTTCCCCATTTTTCCACCGACCTCCAGCAACGGCCTCCGGGAAAGATGAGGCGGTGGTAAGAGAAGATTCCCTCCGCCCCAACCTACTGAGCACTTCCTTTCCTAGCTTTGGAGTCTGGTTTTGAGAAGCAGGTGTAACATTCCACAATCAGAATGCTTCGGAGTAAAAAACTGCTAGCAGCAAAACGCAGACAGAAAACAGACCCGTGGCCCGTACGGGGATCGAACCCGCGACCTTGGCGTTATTAGCACCACGCTCTAACCAACTGAGCTAACCGGCCAGTTTTGAAATACTCACTTCTATCTCTACATAAAGTATTTCCACAGTACAGGCACACACTCAAATTCATTTGCTGTACGGGACTGCTTCTCAAATGCAAAATGAAACCAAACCAGGGCTGCTAAGAGGAAATGCTAAGCAGCTTTAAGAGGTGTAACTTGGCTCTACGCCTCCATCTAGTGAGTAGTTTAGGAGAGAAACGCAAATATACATACAGCTGCCCCACCCCCACCCCAAATTCTACAAGCCCTCTGTGGGTTATGATGATTTAGGTGGTCTCATGGTGCCTATCTGACCCTGGCCTGGTCTACTGACATCTGAGAGGATCTACCTTAGGCCTGGCCCTGGGGAAACCCAGTGCTGACCTTTGGACTGAGGTCCTACAGTAGAGCTTCCTACTATGCTCCTAAGCGCTAGGTGCTTCCACACATACTTCATCTTTCCAACTCCTCGTCTCATACTTAATCCCAGGCCCAGTTTTGCTGAGACCACCACGCCCTTGTTTTCAGCTCTAACTCAATTTATTTCCTGGGGGGCCCGACTGGTTCATTCCTCTGCTGGACCAGTAGCTCTTCTCCAAAACGCTTTGCATCTTTGGCACCAGTGGTAAACAAATGGCTGAAATGATGGTGAGTAGGCCAGGGCCAGGAAATGTGGCATCCCAGAAATGAGCATACAGAGAAACATCCCCAGAGAGGTTTATTGGAGGCCAAAAGGCCTGTGACCTGCACCCTCATGGGGGCAAGTCTTTGGTTCTGCTGGTTGCTGGCACAAAAGCTGCTTACTGCCACCTGTGAGTGTAGGTGACTTGACCCCAATCAGAGGAAATATTAACTGCCATGATTTGCTGTTCCCACACCAACCCCAGAAAGCCTGGCACCAGAATAAGTTACAGTAGGGTAGCAATTTGTGAACCAAAAGATATGGGGTTCAGTGATAGAAAGTGAAGGTGCCACAAGAGGATGGAGCTGGAACCCAGCCCTCAAGGGTCCCAGGAAAGGATAAAGAACTTCCAGGCCATCTTTGAAGCTCAGGTCAACAGGAGGCAAAGGCCCCCAGGGAGCCGGGGTGCTCTGGCTCCTGGATAGAAAGACAGGCCAGTCGGAGCCTGGGATTCATCTTTGTCAGGAGAGGGAGCTCTCCACACTGGAACCGCTGTAGTCGTGGAGGTTCTGAAATGGGAAGAGAGGAAAAGCATCCCCCACATGTAGTTTTCAGTTTACACTGACCATTCTCCTCCCTGAGTCTAGAAATTCCCTATCAATCCCCCATCCCTCTTCCTCCCAGGAACCTGCCTATGCGTACTACCCTTACCTAGTGGGGTGATATTACAGGGTCTCTTCTCAAGCTCAAAAGAAAGCACAATAGGGCGGAGGACAGAGGGACTAGTACAAAGTGTCCTGAGGAAGAGTGTCAAAGGCTCACCCATCTTGGCTGAAGACTAGAAAAGGAAACAGAATTAATCAGAACCCAAGCTTCCAACCTTCAGTCAAATCCCAGGAACCTGGGTAACCCAGCCCCTGCCTCTTGGTCACATCTCACCTCCATTTGCGCTCCAGGCTGTGTAAACTGCAAGGCCACTCTCCCTGGCCCTCGGGCACACTCTAGGACCAAAGTCCACTCACTAGGATGCAGACCTAGTGCTTCTGCCACATGATGATTTTTACAGGTCACCATGGCTTCAGCAGTCCCATCCTCTACCAGAAGCCTAGGGAAAGAGAGAGGAGGCAAAAATTCCCACAGCAAACCCAGGTTGCAAATCCCCTGAACCCAACATGCCTCCCTTCTCACTATTTCCAAGCTTTAGCTCACTTAACCCTCATTCATTCAAAAATATTCATTAAGCAATTCCAAGGAGCCAGGAATTACACTAACATAGGCGGATGAAGCTCGTCTAACAAGGAGGTAAACAGTGTAATGGATGCCCACCTGATGCTGGCCTGGCTTACTGACGTCTGGGTGGGGCAAGTGGAGCCCTGACGAGTGCACCTTCCCTGGGATGAAAACAGGGTTGAAAAGTCTGATGGGTTCCATCACAACCCTCTGGCACGACATACCCAGCTTAGCTTGACCCTTCTCATACCTGGGGACAGACACTGCTACAATGAGTACACACCCACAGGAGCTGAAGGCTGAAGACAGAAACCACGTGGCAAGAGGCAGTGGCCCGGAATGGGGCCCGTCCACCTCGTAGAAGTTCAGCCAGGTAGATGTGGGGCAAGGGAACACTAAGGAGAGACAGAGAGATACAGGGGTTAAGAAATAGGAAGAAAGCTGGAGGCACTGGCACATTTTTGTAATCCCAGTGGCTTGGGAGGCTAAGGCAGGATGATCATGAAGACCACCCTGAGAAACTTAGCAAATAATTATCAATTACTTCTTAGACTTCAACACCAAGATGTTCATAAAGAGACATTTGCTTTTTAGACTGAAAAGCATTCAAAAGCCTAGAACATTAAATATTTCTGGGTAAAATGATATGTATTAGGCATTTTTAAATTTAGAGCAGAGGAAATCCTGACCAACACACTCTTCTGGGATTGGAGAAGACTCTAGTTATGGCAAAAGCCCAGAGCCAGGGACATGAGTGAGAGACATGTGGGTGTGAAACCATGAAGTTTAGGGATTAGGGAATGGGCACTTACCTGACTGTGGTCTCCGGGGGAAAACTCAGGACCTGCACATAAGTAGATGACTGGAAACAACAGTAAACATTGTGGGATCTGTGAGTGGAAGAACAGTAGTGAAGAGAAAGCAGTCAGACTAGGGTAGCAGCTGTACTCAAGAGATCATGCTTGACAGGGTTGGCTCCCCCCTCACCCCCAAGGACAGACCCTGGCCCCAGCTTTACCAAAGCAGACGGAAGAATAAGAAAGTGACTAGTGTGCAACACCTCAGGAGGGTAGAGGGCATATATGAAAACTAACATATTGAAAGTAAGCAAAGAATCAGGTGTGTAATCCTAACATTCTGGGAGGCTGGGATAGGAGGATTGCAAGTCTGAGCTCAACCTGGGCAATTTAGCAATTTCTGAGATCCTGCCTTAAAGTAAAAAATAAAAAAGGGCTGGGCATATAGCTCAATGCAAAGGCTGTTGGTTCACTCCTCAGTAGTGCAAAAAAAAAAAAAAAAAGAAAGAAAAGAAAAGAGCTAGCAAAGAGGTGTTGCTGCAGCATAATTGTGTGGGCTAGAACATTCAATAGAAGCACTTTAGCAGGGAAAGGAGGCACGGCCACATGACACAGATCTTCACCTGGAAACCCTCTTCTCCAGCTGGCTGAAGTGGACTTGAGCTCCTGGCAGGAGCCCTAGTGGGACAGGAAAGTGTGGTTCTTCCATGTAGATGTCCAAGTGAGGGGGGAATTCACAGTTAGCAGGCTCTAGAGCTACGGTTAGCTTCACACACCTTCTCAGGGCCCGAGTGTTCCCTGCAGGAGGAGAGGGGGCTCATGGGATCTGTGGGACCACAAAGTCTCATCACTTACTTCATACCTGCTCCAAAGGAGAGGTCATTACCAGGCTTTGTCCAGCAAGGGGCCAGGAGCGGCTCACACACTGTCCGTGACAAAATCTCAGCTGAGAAAGACACCAAGGAATCGGTGAAACTAAAAAGTGAAATACACAGGGAAATCAGCCATAAGAACATAAGAATGGAGAGGATAAGGCCAAGGACAGAAACAGGAGCCACAATGTCACATGGAAGGTCTTAAAGCAAGGCATGGTGGTGCACACCTATAATTCCAGTACTTGGGAGGCTGAGGCAAGAAGATTGAGGACAGTTTGAGGCTGGCCTGGGTTTTATAGTAAATTCAAGACCAACTTAAACTATACAGAAAGACCCTGTCTCAAAAACAAAGAAACAGGGGCTGGGGATTTAGCTCAGTGGTGCTGCCACCTGCCTCGCAAGTGCAAGGTCCCGAGTTTGATCCCCAGCACCAAAAAACAAAACAAAACAAAGCAAAAAACCCCCAACAACAATAACAACAAAGAAACAAACAAACAAAAATCTTGGAAAACCTTGAGGTCTGCCAAACTGTTGACTAAGAGTAACAGAACATGAATTTTAGGCTTGAAGCTGGACATTCAAAACCTATACAACTTGAAAACAAAAAATAATGAAATCTACGCCACTTTGGAAGCAGAGGCCTTACCAGAGAATTTTCCTTCAGTCGACACTTGCATTTTTACCTAGAATCTCTATTAGGCCATCACTTATAGTCTATGCCTTGAGCTTGGCCCCCTCAAAACGCAGGTCTTTGGAATCATTCAGTTTTTCAGAGGGGTGTCTCACTATGTAGCTCAGGCTCACCTGGAACTTCCAATCCTCCTGCCTCAGCTTCCTGGATGTTAGGATTATAAGTGTCATGATGCCTGGCAGAAACATTCACTTCTAATAGAAACCAATCTCATAAAATTACAGACTATTCAGTAGGGTTTCTTTCTGTTTCTTTACACGGGAAATTTCTCTGCTGCTTTTTCCTTTGGACTTACAGTCACCCCAAAAAGATTACATGAGGAAATATCATCGTTGTTCCTACAGTCACCTTCACTAAACAAAAGCCCTTCTCTACATTTTCAGCTTTCTTTCCTATATTTTCTCATGTTTCTCCTATTTTCTTTCATTGTTAAAGCTTTTCCTTAAGTGTGAGAATGCTTCTTGTGGCCATTTGCAGTCAGGATCTAGGGGAAAAACATGAACCACAACTTCCTTCTTGCACTGACATCATTCCTCTCCAGCTAAATAGTGTTAAAGAAATATCTTGCTCAGGCACAATGGTATGAGCCCACAATACCAGGTACTAGGGAGAATGAAACAGAAGGACTGTTTGAGCCCAGGAGTTGAGGCCAGCCTGGGCAACACAGAAAGGAAAAAAAAAGGAGACATACATCATAGCAGAACAGACCATTCACCAAACCCAACCTGTGCAGAGAAGGCAGTGAGCCCAAATTAATTGGAGGGGCTGGTAGACACTTACTTTCCACTGAGCAGGTTGGGCAGGGAGGACTCAGGCAGTGCCCTGTGTACACCGAGCTCTTCTGGCACATCCTGGGAGCTCTCAAGTTCCAGGGTCCATTCGTCCTGGACAGTGAGGCAGGACACACAGCCAGCCAACTCCAGAGGACGCTGAGATGTGCAGGATGAACCCTCTGCCTCAAACAACATTGGTGTCTGCCAGAAAATGGGAACACAACTGCCTCTGAGTGTGCCAGGCCAGAGGGAGGGTCACAAAATCTTTCAATATTAAAAAAAAACAAAACTTTCAATATTATTCTTTCTGCAGCCTGGTGAAGAAAGAGATCTCAATACAGACAGGCCCAGCCTCTTTAGGAGACCTGGAGGTACCAGCACTGGGATGCTTCTCCAGATTCCAATCCAACACAGCTTTCTGGGGAAGGGGAGGAGGAGCTGGGGCACTCACAGAGTGAGGGGTGACAAGTCGGTACACTTGCCCTGGGTGCAAGAATGCAAACCAGCGGACTGAAGAGCCAAGGAAGAGGAGAAGAACCTGTAAGGAAGGATAGAAGGGTGCTGTGTCCCAGCCTAGAGCTTGGGCATGGGGATCCAGGCCCTAGGAGTCCCACTTTACCTTCTGATCCTTGTTCTCATCTTTCAGGGGCTCAGGTGGGCCCCATCCAGTTCCCTCCTTCCTCTGGGTGCCCCCAAGCCAGATCCCTGACACCTGGAAACTGAAGGTGGGTTTGAGCACCTCTGCACTGGCTCTTGAGGAGGCACAAAAGTTCAGTTTTATGAGGGTCTCCTTGTGGGACAGCAAGAATAGCCGGCTCTGTCCTACATGGGGTCCTTCTGGGCAGGTGGGCTCTGTCTGAGGAGGTGCTGAGGGAGTGGGTGCATGAAGTGCAGATCTGGGCACAGGCAGGATCAAGGAGTCAGCAAGAAAGAACTGGACATAGACTCTGTTGGAGAGACAGGAACAGATCTCTTAGTGATGTGGGTACTATGAGTTTTAGGTCCCAGAATTCTCCCACTTGAATTCAGGACAGCCACCACCCTAAGAAGCTAACCTGGCTTTCCGCTTCTGGATGAAGTCTCCCATGCCCAGCTCCTTCCAGGAAGGAAAGTTGCTCTTGACATTCCTCTCTATGATCAACTGGAACCTCTCTGCCCGCACCAGGCAGCCTAGAGGAAGAACGCCCTGCAGGTTTTGATGCCCACACAAGGTCAAAGCTGATTTCCTCCATACCTGACCACACACCTCCCATGAAGCAATTATCAAGGAGAAACCATCCCATCTGCATGTATAATCCTGTCCCTGGACTCCCAGGCTGAAAGGCTTTGAATGGACTTTTTCACAAATCCCTAAAAGGCCTGTTCCTAATTTTCAGTAATTCCCCTCTCTTGGGTTTTCCTGTCCACAAATCCTAGTAAACCAATTAAGACCACTGCTCTTCTGAGAGAGCCGCCACTCCAGGCTGTGAGCCTATGGGGTCTGGAGTGCGGAGGTCCCCTGTGGCCTCCAGGACGTCACCATGCCTAAAGCACCAAAGGGAAAAAGCACAGAAAAAAAAATCATCCACCCATATAGTAGAAAAGCTGCTCAAATTACAAGAGGCCCACAAACAAGAAAAGAAGAAAAAATTTCTAAAACTTGCTTTGGAAATCTCCTAATATATATACAAATTTTCTTCCAAGATTGAAGAATGAAAAGGCTTTATGTCTCAAACTTATTGGTGAAAAACTGCAGTGCTTTCAAAATGAGCTGGATCCCCCAAAAATGAGATATTCAAAGAAAGAGAATTAATTGAAAGGTATTTAAATTGATTCAGCAGTGAGCTGGAGCAGATTGAGTTACACAAGAGCATCAAGGACAGGCAGGGAAGGTGCCACCAAGCCTGGGAGACAGTCATCAAGCAGACAATGGAGCGTGAATGAAGGCAGTACAAAGGCTACCGGGCCTTGAGATTCCAGACATTTTACATGCAAGTAGTCTGAAAACCTTTAGGGAATGGGATTTGGAGCTGAAGAAATTGCCAAACTTTAATGTACGAGAAAACTTTTTGCGAATGATGCAGTTGCTAAGAAGCACAAGAAGAAAACTCAGAATTTAACTAGAGACAAAGATTTAGGGCAATTGGAACTAAAAGACAAATCAAGTGACTTGGATGAAGAAATAACTCCTGTGGCCTAACTGTCCTTACTTGAGTTGAAAATAAGTAATATGAGAACTTTAAGTCACACTCATTACTCATGAGAAATAATTATCTAGTATTTGCTGTTTAACTCATTCTCTCTCATAATGTGAATCACATTTGTTTCAAATATGTATTGTAATTTTTATTTAAAAATGAAAGTTGTAAAAAAAAATGAAAGCTGTGTTTCATTTATATTAAGTTGCTAAAATAGAAGATATATTCTGTTTTTCATTACTATAACAAAATACCAGAGGCTGGATAACTCATAAAGAAAAGAAGTTTATTTAGCTCATGGTTTTGGAGGCTGAATGTCTAGATAGCACAGTGCTGGCTCTAGTGAGGCCTCCTCTTGCTGCTACACATCATGGTGCATGGTTATCACAGTTGTGGGAGGGCACAAGAGAGGGAAAGATCACATGGCAAGACAGGAAGCCAGAAAATGGAAGGGTCCTATAATGACATCCCACCAGGCCCTGTCTCTTAAAGGCACGAGAGAATTAAATGATTTCAGGTTAGCTCCATTTGATTATTACATTATTTTCTGCTTTCTCATTGTGAAAAGTGATAGGTTTTATTCAGACCTAAAGGTTAGAGAACTAACGATTACAACTGTTACTTCTGAGATACATTACTTAATATATTAAACATATTTCAAGTACCATGACAAACATGGATATTCTAGAATTTTGCTCTTCAAATAATTTACTAAATGCTAATATATATTAGTCTGTCTTTTAAAGGATCCAAGTATAAGTTTTCAAGAAAAGGAAAAAATAATGCTGTGTGAGATTAACTAGGTATCAACTAAATTGTTAACAATTTATACAAAGTGTTACAACTTTTATACTCCTGAAAATTAAAAATAAAGTTTATTTCTATAAAAAAAAAAGAACCACTGCTCTTCCAAACCAAGAATGTAAGAAACAGGAGCTGTAATCCTGGTGTGCATGTTAGGAGTGACGAGGGGGAGAAAGGGATGTTGGGAACTGTAGTTCTGGTAAAGGGTCCACTGGCTCTTTCTCTCTACCTGCCATACCAGTTTCCCAAACTTCTCCCCAAAGTTGTTGATCAACATGTGTCACTTTAGCATCTCTAGTAAACCCCAGCGGGTGTTTCCTCCTGGCCATCCCCTTATACCCAGTTCTAAAAACCTCTACCCAACTAGCACTACCTTTCCACCTCTGATCTCTTTGGGATATTTTCTTTTTTGGTATTGGGGATTGGACCTTGTGCTTTCAAGGCATGTAGCGGAACCCCTGAGCTAAATCCCTGGCCCTCCACCTCTGATCTCCATCCATACCTATGAGCCGTGAGTCAGTGACAGGCTGAGAGTCCTCGGCCAGCAGTAGGCAGGACAGGGAACCACTTTGGTCCCTAAGTCGCAGACAACCTTTACAACATGAAGCTACGAGAATCCCGAGTAAAACCTGTAGGAAGAGCCAGGGGTGGTAGCACACATCTTAATCCCAGCACTTGGGAGGCTGAGGCAGGAGGATCACCACAGATTCAAGGACAGCCTGGGCTATCTAGTGAGTTCAAGACCAGCCTTAACTACAAAGCAAGCCTGTCTCAAAAAAACAAAACAAAAAAACCCAAATCAAACCAAACCAAAACAAAACAACCTTTAGGAAGGCCAGGAATCAAATATTTATTTTTCCTGGTACTGGGGATTGAGCCCAGAGCCCTCACACAAAGTTACATCTCCAGTCTTTTTTTGTTTTCTATTTTGAGCAGGGTCTCACTAAGTTGCTAAGTTATCCAGGCTGGGCTTGAACATACTTTGGAAGGCCTCAGCATTCCAGAGTGCTAAGATTATAGGTATGTGCCACCAGATATTAATTAAATTGATAATGAGCATCAGTGCCAGGTACCATGCTAAATATGAACATACAAAGTGAACAAAAAGATGTGTCTTTGACCACAATGGGCCTGCCACTCAAGAGGGAAAGATGGATCGGAAAAAACACAAAAACGTTCATACATTTAGTAGCAAGAAATACAGTGCATGATTGGAGTTAGAGACAAGAGACCATGGCAGGACCTCACAGAACATAATGAGTTTGGTTTTATTGGGCCGGGGATTTAGCTCAGTGGTTCTGCTGCCCACCTCACAAGCATAATGTCCCGAGTTCAATCCCTGGTACCAAAAAAAAAAAAAAAAAAGAATGAGAATGAATTTGGTTTTATTTTACGTACACTGAGAGAACCATGAAAAGGTTTAAAGAAGAGATTTCTGTAATCCAATTTACATTTTTACTGCACTCTCTCTAGTTGCTGCAGGGAGAATGAATTAGTGGGGGCTAAAAATAGATGGGGCAGTCTAGTTAGAAGGGTGGTATAACTAAAATGACCCAAAAAAATGACAGTAACCTGGACTAGAGTAGTGGCAATGAAGATGACAAAAAGAGGAACTCCCCAGGCCTTCTGGAATTCCTTACCTGGGTTGGATGGAAAGCAGAGGATCGCAGACAGAACCAGGACCAGGCCAGGCGCCGATTGAGCTGGCAGCTGGTTAGGTAGGCAGCCTCTGGGAGGGGCAGAAGGGCTTTTGGATCAAAGGAAGCCCAAGCCTTATGCTGCCCTTCCTCTGCCAGCATGGCCAGAGTGGGGAAAGAGTAGGGAGTCTGCAGCCGAGTATACTGTCAGGGAGAGAGGAGAAATTGGATTATGTCCCCCTTGCCCTGGTGTCCTCCAGTACAGCAGTTCTGCCACCCACTTTCCCTTGCATCCTCATACTTTCTGGAGAGGACAGTGATGTGGTTCTTCAAGGATCTCATTGTGTGCATTCCGAATGGTGCTACTTGGTGGAGCTAGATCATCTAGGGCAGGAGCCAGGAGTTGCAGTCCCAGACTGGGGTTCCCAGAAGAATGCTGCAGGAACTGGTGGTGTCTCAGCACATGGGGACACAGCCTTGGCCAAGAAAAGCAGCACATGTAAAAAAATAAAAAATGAAAGCAGCACAGTTACTTCCAAGATCCTGCTTCCCTGACAGAGTGTCCTACTCACACCACTACCCTACCCCAGACCCTCGCACTCCTCACTTGCAGACCAGCTCTACCAGGGCCCTGATAGCCCACAGGTAGAGGGGAAGTCCTAACTGACGTTTCCATATCAACTGTTCATACAAGGTGGCCTCATGAACTTGGTGGGATGACTGAGTCCCAGGCTTCTGACAAGAAAAGCTCCGAAGTAGAATGGCACCACGGAGGCAGGATGCTAGTACTGGCCTTGTTGTCCCTCCACCTACCGACTGGAGGAGGTGAACATCCTGGAGCTGCAAGAAGACAAGAAAAAGTATAAAAATAGAGGTGAGGCCCCTACCGCAGTGACCCTAGACTGTTCCCACTGCCTACATTCCAAGAGAAAGAAATACAAGTTCCCCTATGATGGCTGTTGTTCCCTTCCAGACTTCATGCCTCACTTAAAATACAACCCACACCCTGAGATCAGCGTCATCTTCCATGAGCTCCAGTTAGTCTCTCTGAGGACCTGGTGGCTCCTGGATGGATAAGGGTGGCTCTGCCTTCTCACGGGGCTACCTGAGATCCTCCTGGCCCACACTTGTGCTTCAGCCAGCTCCTCCCCAACTCAGAAGGGCCTTCTGTGAGGGGATGCTTTATCCTCAACCCCTCCTCACAGACTGTGTCTCCTGTGCCCAGGTGTCCTCCCGTGCTTCAGCAGGACTACTGCTCTCCTTTGTAAGCTCTTATCCAAATTATTTGTACAAAAAGTACTTCAAACCAGGTACGGTGGCACATGCCTGTAATCCTAGCACTCTTGGAAGCTAGGGCAGGATTTCAAGTTCAAGACCAGTGTTGGAAACTTAGTGACTTAGTGAGACCCTGACTCAAAATAAAAAAGGGCTGGGGATGTATCTCAATGCAAAGGTCCTGGGTGTAATTCCCAGTACCACCAGCAAAAAGCAAAGCAAAGCATTCTTTTCAACTTACCACTTATTATTTTATATTATTCCAAAGAGGTTCACACCTAGCATAAAAAAAGTGCAGCCCATGAAGTGAGCAGACTGCTGAGAGGGTCCCTTGTCACTAGCCTGACTTCTCACATACCTCTAGACAGACTCCCGGTCGCATCACCCGCCTAAGACCATGGAACTGCTGGTATGCAAGGCAGAGTTCCAGCTGCCTATCCAACTCATAGAGGCCAGCGGGCTCATTCAACACGCCAGTGACTGTTCCCTGCAAAGAGGCCAGAGGTCCAGTTGGTCACCACCACCTCCTTCCTCATTGGAGATCCCCATTTCCTGTAAGCTCTAGGATCTCTTTTTTAGGCTCACCCTATAGTGTAAGAGTGTGGAGTTCCGGGAAAGAGTTTTTTGCTCCTTCTGGTCTGGAGAGTTGCTGGGCACAGAGAACCGTTTGGGCTCAGCTTCCAAGAAGGGTCCTTCCAGCTCTAGCTCTTGCACACATTCTGGATTTAGCAGCATCAGATTCGAAGAGGGAGTGGTTGTCCAAACACGGTAACGGTGACCATGGATCCTGGATACTCGAAGTCCTGTCAGCACATAGTCCTCACTAGGCCGAAGGGCTCGGTGCCACACCAGTTGGGCAGGGATCTACCATACATGGAGGTGGGCAATACAGTGCATAAGATGTTCCCTGTGATGCTGCCCCTCTGCCAGTTCCTTCTCATCACAATCTGACCTCTGGCTGGGGATTTAGCTCAGTAGTTCCACCGCCTACCTCACCAGCAGAAGGACCAGAGTTCAATCCCCGGTACCAAAAGAAAAAAAAAAAAAAAGAGTATACAATTTGACCTCTAGACCTGTTCCTCATGAATTTTTCCTGTCTTCATCTTCTCTATGTTTATCTATTTTTTTTTTTGTACCGGGGATCAAACTCAGGACCTTGAGCTTGCCAGGCTGGCATGGAGCCAGTGAGCTACATCCCCAGCCCTCTCCAATTAAATCTTAAGCCACAGACTTTCAGGATTTCTGCTTTCTCAATAGAGATATCAAATATTTCCTAATCCCTTGTTCAAGATACAAATCATCCCTAAAATTTCCTTTAAAATATACAAATATTCCATTGAGAAAATCATGCCCTTATTAACACTTCCCATCTCCCACCCCACAACATACAAACAATATTTATCTATGTCATCAATATGTTTGGGTATAAATGCATCCACTTGTACCAGGATTATGCTGGGATTACAGCCAGGTGGTACCACAATCTGGCTATGAATATAATTTTATGCAGTATTTTTAGTCTGCCTGCATTTTAACTTTGACCCATCACATAAGGTCAGGTGTGGAATTTTCCACTTGTGACATCATTAGAGCACTCAAAAAGTTTCAGATTCTGGAGCATTTTGAATTTCTGATTAGGGTTGCTCAACCTGTATCTGGTTTGTCCAAGAGGAGAGGACAGAGAAGGCAACAACACAAAAATGTTCAGAATTCAGAATAAGCCAGGCATGGCTTGAAGGCAATGAAAACACTGGCAATGACAGAGAAGAGTGAATGTTGCTGGGAGTTGCAGGAAACAAAATGGGAGAGTTAAGATAAGGGAAGAAGCTAAGAAATGCCAAGGAGGTATGACATGGACTGGAGGAGACAGCAGGACAATCATTGAAGAAATTTAAGCCTGAAGAAAAATGTTTCATGGATAAGATGGTTCATAAACATAACCATCTTCTAAAGTATCCTCCTCCCACAGGCATAAAAAGCACTGCTACCTTTCTCAGGGGCTTCAAAACAACCTGATAGGAGCTAGAGTGTTGCTCAGTAGTAGAGAGAGAGTGCCCAGTATGAAATAAGCCCTGGGTTTAAGCCCCAAAAAAACAACAACAAAACCCTTACACTGATAACTCAAGAAACTCTGACTTCAGTTATCTGTGCTCAACTTTGCAGACCTCTATTTCTACTCTGAACCAGCTGAGTTCTACCAGTTAGTCCTTGGATATCACAACTCATCATAAGGTATTGCTGAGCCCTTACTTAAAACTTACTGCACGGGACAAAATAAGTCATTTACAATGGTCTTACTGAGCAAACAAACGAAGGATTGTGGGTGCTTTCACTCTCCATCTCTCCCTCCATGCTCCTTCAACTCTCAGGAAGACCCTCAGTATCTCAGCCCCTTCTTCTTCATTCAGATGCTGAGGTTCTTCCCTTTCCCTATCTGATGCCAGCCCCTGAATCTGGCCCTTTCTGCCCTTGACCCTTGAGTGTACCAATATCATATTGTACAGCTCTGACTCAGTTCCTTTCTAAGGTAGAAACCTCATTTGAGGTGGCATCCCAGAGCCAAACACAGATGCTCCTGCTCCTGCTGGGCCTCTGTTGGTGCTTGACAATCTCTTATCCCCTACTAACTAGCACAGCAGTTACCCTGAACCTTTCCTCTCCTTTTCAAGGTCCAGCCCTTCAATTTCAAGAGATAACCTCAGCTCCTACTCACTGGGGTCATCTAGAGCGACAAAAAGTCTCCAACATGCCTCTTCAGCAGCCCATATACATACCAAGAGCATCCCTGTGCTGCTGTGATTGTAGCTTAGTGATAAAGCATGCATGTGCAAGGCACTGGGTTCAATCTCAACATAAAAAAAAAAGTACTAGTGCCAAATTTGTTTTTTTTAAATGCATTTAATCAATGTCTTACTTGAGTTAAAATGATTTGTTTGGCCATTCTTCTAACACAGGGGAAAAATAAGTTATCCTGGCAGTTTTTAAAAATGTCAGAGGATGCAAAAGCTATCACCTCAAATGAATTGCACAGCAGGAAAGTCTACTCTCTACCTCCATACACAGACAGTAACACTGCCTGGAATTTCCCCTGCACAGTACTGTTCCCAAAAGTAACTCTCTCAGCTGCCCTCCTTCCCTGTGCAGTTCCTTTACGAAGTTATCTTGGGCCGGGGATTTAGCTCAGTGGTTCCTCCGCCTGCCTCACAAGTGTAAGGACCAGAGTTCGATCCCCAGTACCAAAAAAAAATAAGAAAAAAAGAAGTTATCTTTCCCATTAGGAGTTCAGCACAGCCTCCACACCTGCATGCCCTTGAATTGACCCTGACCCTTACCTGCACAATGATAGGCACCTGGCTGACAGCATGGCCGACAGCTAGGGGTGATTCACCAAGAGACAGGACGAAGTATGTCTTCTGCTGACTTCTTACCAGAGGACTCAACCGGACCAGCTTCCCGGCTAGATTTGACTGCACCTCTCTGAGCTTGCTTCTAGGGAGGAAGAGGCCGGGGATTTAGCTCAGTGGTTTCGCCACCTGCTGCACAAGTGCAAGGACCTGAGTTCGATCCCCAGTACCAAAACAAAAACAAAAAAATACCATTCTAGGAAGGAAGAGGAGGGGAAGATGTCATTTTTATGTCTTTTCTTTCTTTCTACAAATGTCTTCCCTTCCAATGTAAAGAACAACCTGATAGTGCGGGGGTGGGGAAGCAGGATGGGCATGTAGCTCAGTGGCCTGACTTCAATACCCAGTACAGGAAAAAAAGAAAAGAAAAAAACCAAATAAACACTTCTCTTAATAATCTTTTTATGTGGTACTAGGGATTGAACCCAGGGTCTACACATTAAGCTATAACCCTACAGCTCTAGCCCTTTTTCAGTTTTTGGTACCAGGGATCGAACTTGGGACCTTGTACTTGCAAGGCAGGCAGCAGAACCACTCAGGTAAATCCCCCACCCTTTTTCAGTTATTTTGAGACTAGCTCTCTCTAAGATGCTAAATTGCCCAGGCTGGCTTCAAACTCCTAGGGATTCTCCTGCCTCAGTATCCCAGAGTGCTGTGATTTTAGGTGTACACCACCATGCCCAGCTCTTAACATTCTTGATGTTCAAAGGCCCACTGACCCTTTGGAATTTGGAATATTCCATCTACATTACTACCAAAACCTTTCTTTCCCCTCCACTGAACCACAATCATCCTCCATGTTTGACAGTGCTCCCACCTCCCCTAGAGAGGAAAGAGTTACCTGTGTCTGAGCACACGGGATGCAATCTCTGGGTACAGGACAGGGATTGGTGTGAGAGGGTCAGGACTGATGGCCAAAGGAAACACTGGCACAGGGGCACCCCAGAGCTCCAAGTGCCCTTCCCTTGAGGAATTCCACTTGGCAGGAGGAAGGTAACTCCAACTGGGGAACAAGAAGAGATGGCCCAACCAAGAAAGGTCCAAATCTATGAGCTAGGAAAAAACCAAGAAGATGGTTACCAGGGTCCTAGCATCCAATCCACCCCTCTGTATTTGTCCCTACAGAATCCTAGCTGCCTTGTTCCCTAGACACCATTCCTGTTAGAATCTGAAGAATCTGACTGCTCCTCCCTACTTACCTCACAGCCCAGGATTCCAGTGTTATCTCTCACAAAGAGGCTTCCATCCCTGCATTCTTGTTCCAAGTCCTGTGATAGGTCTGTTAGTGTCCCTAAAAGTAACAGCTGCTCCTGGGGCAGGGGGTTCCCATTTGGCCCAGCCTCTTGGGCCCAAGTCTCATATGCACTACAGCTCCGGGACAGGTGGCTGCAGCATGGATGATGGCGGCTCCTCAGTTTTTGTACTGAGACAAAGCTGGAGAGCAGAGAGAACAGGGGTTTTACAAAGCCAGTCCATGTCTAGGAGGATACGCTTACCTGGGCACAGTCCCACAGTTCATGAAGGGGATCATGAACTAAAAGATGTGTATGATTGAAGAAGAAAGAGCTGGGGGTAAGGACCCAACATAATGAGGATGTGAGGATGGGGTCTGGGTCCAGAGGCTGCACATTATTGAGGGAAAGCAGAGAGTCTCTGCCAAATGATAGCTTGTGGGGGGCAGTAATGAGGATCAAACCCAGGGGCATGCTAACACTAAGCAACATCCTCAGACCTTTGTACATTTTTTGAGACAGGGTCTCATTAAGTTACCCAGGTAGGATTCGAACTTGTGATCTTCCTGCCTCATTCTCCCAAGTAGCAGGAAATACAGGTATATATCACCATGCCTGTCTATGAATAATATCCAGAACAAGATGGTATCAGGGGGAAGACCCAGAAACCAGAAAAAATAAGCAGGAATATGGGAGGGCCTGAGGTAATGAGTGTGTATAGAGAATACTTTACATATACCACAAAGAGCTCCCTTGAAAGCATCTCAGCTCTTAGCTTCATAGAGAACTCCAATGGTCCTAGGCAGGTTTCCTTATTATTACAGACCAGTACTAGAGACTGGGTGGGAAAGTGAGGCTGAGATAGCAAGTTGAATAATAATGCAAATAAAAGTTAAATTATGGGTTGGGGGGTAGCTCAACAGTAGAGTGCCTACTTAGCATGCATGAGGCTCTGGGTTCAATTTTCAGTAACAGAAAAAAAAAAAGCTACAGATGTATGCTGGTATGTGTAAACTGGTATAATTCCACTGGAGTACACTGCAAGCAGCAAAGGAGATTGATGATGTGCATACCCTATAAGTGAGCACCTCCCTTTGGGACTCTGGAAGAAGTGAGGGAGAACTCATCAGAACAGAGTTGTTAAGGGACTTTACTAATTCTCTAATATCTTACATCTTATGAAAAACTAAAGGAAATATGGCAAAATATTAATGTTTTTAAAAATTGAGCAATAAGTACATGGCTATACTCACTGTTTATATCAGCTAATCTTTTTTTTTTTTTTTGCAGTGCTGGGGAACAAATCCAGAGCCTTTGCCTCCTAAGCTAAATTATTTTCAAACACAAGCCTTTCTCAATGGGACCCCAGCAACACCACATAGCCTTTCTCAATGGAGGAAGCAGTGTGTTGATTTACATTCTGGAAAACCAGTGTTTGAAGAATCATTGGTTTAACTTCATGAATGAGAAAATTATACAAAATGATGAAAATGATGTTTTGAATAACATAGTACAACTGTCCCCTTGCCAAAATTCCTTTGCCTCTACTGACTGATACAGGGACCCAGGTTGTGGAAAGTGTTTTCAAATGGCATAAACAGGTTAAGGGAGTGCCAGGGAAAAAATATCCTACAGGCCAGGGATTTAGCTCAGTGGTTCCACCGACTGCCTCACAAGCTCAAGGTCCCGAGTTTGATCCCCGATAACCAAAAAAAAAGAAAAAATATCCTAGCTGAAGTTAATTTTGGGCAAACTCAGATTTCTACTTTTTGTTTCAAAAGGATAAACAAAAAGTGATTCTCCATATATAGAGAGCAGTTTAAAAAATAAGTTAAAACTATATATAGCAATATGAAGTATATAACATTAAGCACAGAAGAGCAAATTGCAGAGGATATGTAAGATACTGTCCCATTTATATAAAGTCTAAAGATAAAGAGATAGAAAGCTCTATTCCAGACTAAGGATAGATGCATCCATAGTAAAATATACAGATATGGTAGGAATAATATATCCCATACTTAAGACAATGGTTACTTCTACAAGGAAGAAATAGGTTTCCTTTGGTAAAACTTTTCAGAGCCTTGAATAAGTTAATGACCCCTGTAAATCTCCTAGAAAACTTACTTGGCCATGAAGCAAACACTTTTCTTGTGGTGCTTTATTAATGTTGCCTAGTATAGTGTAGAATATGAAATGGTAATGTACTAAAAATCCCCAATTTAAAAAAATACTCTCAGACAACCTTAAACTCAGGTCTGCCTTTTCTTTCTTTAGGTTTTGAGGTACTAGGGATTGAACCTAAGGCTTTCACACTGAGCTACATCCCCAAGTCTTTATTTTTTTCTTTTTAAGATAGGGTCTGGGGCTGGGGATTTAGCTCAGTGGTTTCGCCGCCTGGTGCACAAGTGCAAGGACCCGAGTTCGATCCCTGCTACCAAACAAAACAAAACGAAAAAATCCACAGGGTCTGGTTAAGGCGCATAGGCTGGGGGGGTGTAGGCTGAGCTTCAACTTGCGATCCTCCTGCCTCAGCCTACCACAGTGCTATGATTACAGGCATGTACCACCATGACAGTTTGCAGTCTTAAAAATAACAATCCAGTTGGGCTCCAGTGGAGGACACCTGTAATCTCAGCTAATCGGAAGACTGAAGCAGGAGGATTGGAAATTTGAGGCCAGCCTGGGTAACTTAGCAAGACCCTGTCTCAAAAAAACAAAACCAAAAAAAAGCCATGTGTGGTAGAACACATCGCTAATCCTAGCACTCAGGAGGCTGAGACAGGAAGATCAGCAGGAGTTTGAGGCCAGCACAGGCTGCATAGCATAGTAAGTTCAAACCCTGCCTGAACTATAGTTGAGAACTTATTTCAAAAAATCAAAATAATAAAAATAACAATAATTATAAATTAAAATAAAATAAAAATATACAGATGTAGGGATGTAGCTTAGCACTAGAGTGCTTGCCTAGCATGCACAGGGCCAGGTTCAATCCCCAGTACTGAAAAAACAAAAACAAACAAACAAAATAAGCCATACTCATTGAAGTCATGAATCTTTCTGAATCTTACTTTCCTACACAAAATGAAAATAATACCAGATTTTTCCCCCTACCTTGAGAACTCTTTCTCCAAATTTTCTTTCTTTCTTCCCTACTTCATTTCTTCCTCTCTTTTTCTCTAAACCTAACTTAAGCCAGTTTAGGAAAAGAAGAGCTGGAGGGAAAATAGGAAAGTTCTGCAGAAGGGGATGTGTTTAGACCACTTTGTTCTCCATTCACTCTTCTCACTTCTGTGTTTTTTTAGTATAGATCCTTCCTTTTCAATCCCAGATTCAATCTCCCTGCCAGCCCTCACCTTCCTTACCTGTAGCTGAGGGGCAGTCCAAAACCTTGGTTCCTTCCCTGGGAACACCAAATCCTCTTCACACAGTCAATTACCGACTGAGTCAAATGAGCAGTAGGCTCCTTGTCAGCTGGACAAACAGCCTCTTGGATGAAGGTCTGGGCAGCCTCAAGCCAGGCTTGCTCCTAGGGAAAGTGAATCTAGTTAAAACATCTTCAGTACTACTATCCTGCCCACCAAAGAAACTTTTGGGAATAAAGAAATTAGAGAAAAGAGAGCCCGGGATTTAGCTCAGTGGTTCCACCACGTGCCTTGCAAGGTCCCGAGTTTGATCCCCAGTACCAAAAACATAAAAAAAAAAAGAGAGAGAGAGAGAAAAGAAACCCCAGAGAGCATATAAAATGAAGATCAAGAGCAAAAATGTTTAGAAGCTGAAGAAGCCTCAGAAGTCCTTCGTTTACTTTTTTTCTTTTTAATTTTTTGAGACAGGGTCTCGCTATGTATCCCAGGCTGTCCCAAACTCGGGGTAATCCTCCTGCCTCAGGCTCCAAAGTGCTGGGATTACAGGTATGCACCACCACACCTGGCAGAAGTCCTTAGTATAGAGCAAGGGTGTAGCTCTGTAATAGAGGACTTGCCTAGCACGCACATTTCCTAGGTTCTATCCATAGCACAACAAAAATAAGTCTTAGTTTAGCCATAGTTCCTTGAAGTGGCAATCCAGCTTGGGTCTTCCTTCCCTTCCTAAGAAACCTATAGTAACCCTTAAAGTGGTCATCTGGAACATACATTCCTCTGTGGACCCTATTCTGACCATCCCAGGCAGACTGCTGGGAGCTCCAATAGCAACCTGCATACTCCTCTATTAGGAGTAATGACCACAGCCCGATATAGCGTCACACACCTGTACCCTAACCCTTAGGAGGCTCTTAAGTTTGAGGCTAGACTGGACTACATGGAGAGACTTTTTCTCAGAACAAACAAAAAGGAACAGTGACTGCCACATTTAGTGCCATATCATTTTACGCGAGGTCAGCAAGTTGAAAAACAAGAATATGTAAAATCACCCTTTTAAAAATACTTTATCTTGATCATAAAAAATAGGTCATAGGGGCTGGGGACTTAGCTCAGTGGCACCGAGCCTGCCTCACAAGCACAAGGTCCTAAGTTCAATCCCCGGTACCAAAAAGAAAAAAAAAAAAAGGCTCATAATACTGTTCTATAATATGTATATGTAAATAAGTGTGCCTAATAGGACATAAAAAGGACATAGGTATATGATTTTTTTTTTTTTTCGTACCGGAGATTGAACTCGGGTCCTTATGCTTGCACAGCAGGGGGTGAAACCACTGAGCTAAATCCCCGCCAGGTATATGATTTTTAATCGTTTCCCTTTTTTTCAGATATATACATTTGAGTTTCCATAAACTAAATATATGCAAGATATAAATCCCAATGACCTATATTACCAACCCTTTTTGAGACAGGTTCTTGCTAAATTGCTTGGGCTGAGTTCAAACTTGTAATCCTCCTATCTCAGCCTCCCAGCTAGCTAAATTATAAGCTTATGTCACCACATGCAGCTCAAACTGTGGGCTTTCTTTCTTATTTGTTTTGTTTGTTTGAGACAGAGTCTTGCTGTGTAGTTCAGGCTGGCCTTGAACTCACTATGTACTCCAGGCTGGCCTCAAATTTACAGTGATCCTTCTGTCTCAGCCTCCCCAGTGCTGGGATTACAGGCATGCACCACCATACCTGGCTTAAGATGTGGGCTTTTGGAGGAAGGCATGAAAGGCACCTTTGTATATTTGGCACAGATTCTGGTTGCCATTATATATAATGTTAGGGAAGATCAGTTTGACCTCTTGCCAGTGAGTTCCCAAAGGAGTTCAACAGTACTTAGGGGTAGGACCTTTATCCTATTCAACGGTATTTCTAAACCATTACAGCTTCATCCCTGGTCTTCTACGGCTCCTCTACTAACCTTCTGGTGAATCTTCCACATTCAGCAAATCTTTAGCAGCTTGAAAACAGCACGAAAAATCGAATGTCGTCAAAGCTGAGCATGGTGCTGCACATCTGTAGTCCCAGAATTTGGGAAGCTGTAATCTCAGCACACAGGAGGCTGAGGCAGGAGGATGGCCAGGAGTTTAAGGTCAGCCTGAACTACTTAGCAAGACTGTCTCAGAAAAAAGAAAAAGAAAAGAAGGATCGGTGTTCAAATTCTAGATAACTTCAGGATCCTTGTGGACAGTCTTTTTATTGACGTACACCTTCACCCTACTTCTATCTAATATTCTCCTTTCATTCAGAGTTTTGGACCCTGGACTAGATCATCATTCCAAGATGCCCCACCAACATACTCAAAGCACAGACATTTACTTTTTGTCTTTTCATCTCAATTTTTTTCAGTATTGGGGATCACTCTCTACCCTCAGCCTTTTTATCTATTTATTTATTTTTTATTTTTTGGTGCCGGGGATTGAACTTGGGTCCTTGTGCTTGCGCAGCAGGCGGCGAAACCACTGAGCTAAATCCCCGGCCCCCAGCCTTTTTATTTTATGTTGATATAAAGTCTTGTTAAATTCTCCAGTCTGGCCTTGAACTTGTAATTCTCTTGCCTCTGCCTCACAAACAGCTGGTATTACAGATATGTGCCACCATGCCCAGCTTCATTCTTTTTTAGTAGTTCATATTTCTTTAATGATTTGTCTGTTGTCTGGCACACTGAATACCACTGCTTCTCAAATACTACTGCTTTGAAATGAAATTAAATTTTTTAAAAAAAACAAATCCAAGCCAGGTGTGGTAGCATATGTAATCTCAACACTCTGGGAGGCTAAGGCAGGAGGAGTCTGCCAAGTTCAACCCCAGCGTGGGTAATTTAGAGACCCTGTCTCAAAATTAAATAAATAAAAATTTTAAAAGGACTAGGGATGTAGTTCAGTGTCAAGGCCCTGGGTTCAATCTCCAATACTGTCCAAAAAACCAAAAAAAAACCCAAAAAGATAACCAAATCCAAACAAACAAGGTAAACTATGGACCTCATCTGTTGAATCAAATGAGTAGGTCTGTATTCCCAGCACTCAGGACGCTGAGGGAGGACTGCTATGAGTTCAAGGCTAGTCTGGATTACATAGTGAGACTGTATCTCAAAAAACCAAGACCAAAACCAAACTACACACTTTCTCCTCAAATATCTCATCTATTGGGTGGCTTTTTTTCCCCTGCTGTCCACTTTAACTTCTTGAATTTTTTTTCCCAGTACTGGGGATCAAACTCAGGACCTTGAATTTGGGAGGAAGGTGGTACACCACTGAATTAAATCCCTGGCCCCTAACTTCTGTTGTTTTGGGTTTTTTTGTACCAGGAATCGAACTTGGGACCTTGCACTTTCAAGGCAGGCGCCAGAACCACTGAGCTAAGTCCCCGGTCCCAACGTCTAGAATTTTGCAACTACTGGGATTGAACCCAGGGCCTTGTCCGTATTGGGCAAGTCCTGTACATTCCCCACCCCTCTTTTTTTGGGGGGGGGTACCGGGGATCGAACTCGGGACCTTGCGCTTGGGAGGCAGGCATCGGAACCCCTGAGCTAAATCCCTGGGCCCTTCCTCCCCCCCCCCCTTTTTACTTTACTTTGAGACAGTGCTAAGGTGTCCAGGCTGGCCTTGAACTTGTGATCCTCCTGTCGCAGCTTTCCCAGTAGTTTGGGATTACAGGTGAGTGATCATCCTAGATACAGGCTGGCTTTAAACAGCCACCAACAGATGATTGTTCCTACATCTCTAGTCTAAATGAGTCCCCTTCCTGAGGTTTGTTCTTGTCCATCCGTCTACCAGACTCTCAACCTGGCCAATCCATAGGTAGCACATGCCTAACAATGACATTTTCACATCTGCTATTCCTCTAGCCCTCTTTAATTTAGCAGACAGACTCTCAAATAGTTGTTTTACCTTGAACCTGGCTATACTCTTTAACTCCTCTTTCCTTACACGATATCCACTCCTTTAGATTCTATGACATTGTCTCTTTTTTTTTGGTACCGGGGCTAGAACTCGGAACCTTGCACTTGCGTGGCAGGCGGTGGAACCACTGAGCTAAATCCCCGGCCCCTACATTGTCTTTTTTTATTGATTTCACTTTTGGAATCTCAACACTGCTGCCATGGCGGCGGCCAACTATTCTCTCACTACATTTTAATCACAGTTTTCCAATTCTTCACACTGCTACTTGAATAAACTAAAACCCAAATCCCATCCAATCACCAACTCTCCTGTTTAACGCCCACCAACTCCCAATAAAGTCGCTGCTCAGCAAATCTTACAAGACTCAGCTCTGGCGCCTCCACTACCATCCAATTTAACTTCCTCAGTTTTTCAAGACACCTGCTCTATCTCTTCCTTTTCAACCTGTATTTGCTTCAATCTTGTAATTTTTTTTTAAGTGCTTTTTTGCCTTGCTAACTCCTACACGCATTTTCAGAACCCTGAAGCTTTTCTTTTCCCTCTACAGCTGCGTCTGGAGTCTTCTCTAGGAACCCACAGCCCCACAGTTGTCCCATTAACCTTTTCCTAGTATCTCACTAGGTCTGAATCCTAGAGAGTGGAAGGAGAGGTGTTTAAGGCTCACAAGCGGGTGCCAAGCGAACAAAGTAATAAAATATTCGCAGAACCACTGATAGAGGTAGGAGCAAACCGTCTCCCATTTCCCTCACCCCCGGCCGTGCCCAACGAGTTACAAAGGCCAGAGAGACGAGGTGAAAGAAACATGAGAAGGAAGAAAATTCGGGACAAAAGTGACAAGGGACGGAGATCAGCACTCACAGAGAGAGCCTGAACCCGGCAATCCGTCATGATGCGCCAAAGCCCCGTCCCCGTGAAGCGCGCGAACGAACGCCGCGAGTGCTCACGGGAGGAACTCGGTGACGTCATCGGGGCGCGTAGCTACTTTGCCGTGTAGCGTCTCCTGCGCACCAACAAATTTTCCAAGCATGTCTTTTTTTAAAAGAAAATAATTTGTTTTCAGCAACTAAAATAGTCAAGTCTATACTTTTCTGCATAATTTGTCAGTTTTTCAACATCAAATAAAATATTGTCATCATTTGGTTGTCTTCATGTTTTTTCTTGATCAGTTCATTTTTCTTTCTAAAATGTTGCATGCCACACGAGACAATGAAGTATCTTTAAACTCTACAGCCAAAGGATCTGAACATTCATCTGCAGCTACCTGTATGCTTATTTTATGCAGTTGGGGTCATAACCATTTTCTTCAGTCATCCTCTGAAAAGTTTTTGTAAAACATTTGTTCAATGACCTTCACATATCTTCAAAATGCACAGACCCGGTTGCACCTCAAAGAGGCCCGCGAAACAGCATGGCTATCAGCAGCCCACGTGCCGTCCTCCTTAGGCGGCTGAGTGGGAAAGGAAGCCTATCTCCCTCCTTAAGTGATGTTGAGATTTAGAGGGAAGGGATGGGAGAACTATGAACTCACACAGCCCACCTGGTTGATAACCCCTAAAGATCTTTCAGTGTCCCTGAATTTGCCAAGCATAGAAGTGCTTCCTCCTAAATGCAGCCAGAACACTTTCATACTTGTTGATTGGACTTAACTTTACTGATGTCATTATTTAACTCAATTGTGATGTCAAGAGCTCTGAGAGATAGTCTTGTTCTATTTATCTTTTTATTTTGATGCCTAGAATAGTGCTTATTGTTGAGTAACTTGATAAAATCTTGTGCATCAGTTCATGTAATCTTGTGCTCTTTCTGGGTCCATGTCTCCTGAAGTCGAAGAATGAATTCGAGGACCAAGGAAATAAGATGGGAGGAATGTTTATTAAGAAGAATGAGGGCCGGGGATTTAGCTCAGTGGTTCCACTGCCTGCCCCGAGTTCGATCTCTGGTACCAAAAAAAAAAGAAGAAGAGTGAAAAAGCTCCCAGTAGTTGGGAAAGGACCAGAAAGTGGGTTGCCAAGGGGATTCTGTCTAGGAGTATTTATTTATTTATGTACTTTTGGTACTGGGATCGAACTCAGGACCTTGTGCTTGTGAGGCAGGTACAGTGCCACTGAGCTAAATCAATGGCCCTGTCTAGGAGTTTTTATACCAGAAAATGACTATGAAAAAAAAAATGACTATGGCTCAGACTACTTCAAGACAAACTAAAATCAACCAAAAAGAACCCACCCAAAAACTATTATGTCTGGGCCAGGGTCAGAGTTAGAGTGAAGCAAGTGGGGCACCTGGGAACAAAATTTAAGAAGGCACTTAAATTTTGAACTCTAAAAGTTTCATTTGCTTTACTCTAGTAGTCTTAGCCCTGTCCTGGGAAGGAAATGAGATTAGAATATAGGGGAAGATGGGATACAGACTTTCTTTTTTTTTTTACTGTGAAAATTTGTGATACATACTGTTGGTTTTTAGAAGACCATTGGGGGGACTAGGTATATAACCCAGTGCTAGAACACTGAGTGTGTTCAATCCCCAAGGTCACACACAAGAAGCAGATTTGTTGACCTGGGTATTGTGTATTTGCTCTGGGCATTACTTAGATTCCTCGCCTTCCAGCTTCAGGCTACATTTGGCTAGTGGGAGAAAAAGACAATTTGCATCATGAAACAAAAAGAAAGCGGGGAGGCATTGCACTGGGACAAGAGAGCAGGAGGAAAGAAAGAACCCGAGGATTATTCCCTTCCCATCACCGTACTTGTGACAGTGGCTCCGTTTGTCATGTTGGATAACCTTCCTCACTGCCCCAGCTTTCCCAGCTGTTAACACCATTTTCTCTCTTTGTCCCTTCAAGCCAACAAGAAGTTGCCCATGCCAGTCTCTAGGCCTCCCACTCTACATTTTTCTGATAGGTCCCAATACAACAATGTGTTCATGGATTATTATTATAGACAGGTAAGTTAGATAGAAATTAACAGGCAGTTAGACAGGGATGGAGGAAGTCAGTGAAGAAGATAAGATCACATCATGGGCCGGGGATTTAGCTTCGTGGTTCTGCCGCCTGCCTTGCAAGTGCAAGGACCCAAGTTCGATCCCCGGTACCAAAAAAAAAAAAAAAAAAGATCACATCAAATCTGTGCTTGGAGGCAAATCCGAAGCAGGCCAGGCCTCAAGATGGAGACACAAGAGCCAGGCCTACATGCCTCCCTAAGAGATAAACAGCAATTTA